ACGCGCACACGCGCACACGCACACGCACACACACACACATACACACACATACACACACACACACATACACACACACATACACACACACACACACACAACCCGCACGAAGCCCAGGCAAGACCCACAGCCAACCACGCCGGACAGAAGTGGGCGAATTTCGATCCCTCTTGCATCTTTGAGTCTCCAGAAGCATTGGTAAGATTTGACACTTGCTGACGTGGCAGCCTCTTTGACAGGGGCGCTTAGCCGAGCTGCAGGCGGACTTGTCAGCCAAGGACGATCCAAGGGAGTAGAAGAATAGATCGCGCATAGACGGCAACAGAGGCCAATGGCAATCAAGAGAGAGGCTGGGCCAACGCGCCTCAAGGCGGAGGGACAGCGTTCCTCGGTTTCACTTGGTTCTTTAAGTTCATCGTGCTTGACCATTTCAAGCAGGGCACTAATATCAGGCAGAACTGTAATATGTGCACCCCTTTGTGACCGAGCTGGAGCATCTCACTTTGAGAAGCTGCCAGGACAAGAAAGTTTCTGAGCTGGGCGGCGAGAGCTGCGCTCAGAGGGTGAGCCATGCCGCTAAATGGGCTGATTTGGGATTCGCTAGTGCTGGCCTCCTTTGCATTGGCAACTACTTGATGAAGCTCTTGCAAAGATAAAGCTCGGCTTGTGCACGCGTCCCGTGACGAAGGGCGGCTCCACAGTTGCTCAGATCGTCGCCCAATCGATGCTCATATTATGGCTCCATTATGTTCTTCAGGTGGTAGCCTGGTAGCCACTTAGAATAACCACCGATCACTGGAAGAAAATTCAAGCAAGTCTTGGGATTCCATCGGAGTGGTTGATTCGTTCCAAGTATGTGGCATCTGAGGCTGGACGTGACAATGCGAGAGGCAGGTGTAAAGCCCGCAGAATCGAGCCTGCAAAGTTGCAGCATCGTTTGCAACCCTGAGTTTTTTCTTCTTAAGGGTTTACAACGAACACACTGCTTCGCTTGCAGCGTTCACGATGAACCAGACACTGCTGCCATCATTTCCTGATGAGCGCGTCTGCATTCCAGCCACCCGCCAACGCCTGACTCCAGTTTTTTTTTTTTTTTTTTTCCATGGCTATACTCAAGTCTGGTTTGCCGTTGGCTTGGTCCCACCTGGTCCCACTTGGTCCCCTTGGTCCCGCTTGGCCCCTCTGACGGGCCAGCCTAAAGCCAAATCAGCCTGAATGAGTCAAGTGAGTGCCGAGACAGGTGCGGCACCGCCAGCTGGACCTGGAGTTTCAGCAGCTAAAGCTGGAGGACTGGAGAAGCGGGACGTTGCGACGTCCGATTCGGAGAAGCGCCGGACCTTTCCTCCCTCAAGCCACGACCCAACCCAGACGTTGTTTGTTCTGCTGCATGGGGTGCACGTGGTTGAGGGGTGTGCTGGTGTGTTCACATTTTGTAATGATAGCCGGAAGCGGTGTGCCCATTTGAACCCACAAGCAAGTCGATGAACAAAGCTATTGCATTCAATCAGCGCATGCTTGGTTTTGCACAATAATTCTTATCCCGTTTGCTCGGATAGTAAATGCTCGATATGGCAAACATATCATGACCGATTCGCTAGTTTGGAGGAGAAAGTCCGCAACAATGCGGAGCTTGAGCAGGCCAACGTAATCTGCACTGCCAGTGTTAGCAAGTGCCAAAGCTCATGACATCGTGCTTCAAACATGGGATATGCAAAAAACCTATCATTAGACGTTGGCACATGCCACGGCAGAGAGTGTCATAATCCTGAGAGAAATGATACGGCAGGCAGATGAGAGGCTGAGAAATTGTCTTTTCACAACCCATTCAGGCGCAACGTGTCCTCACCGCGCGTGTTGAAGAAGCCACTCTGCAAGCAAGGCGCGGCAAACGATGTGCAGCCACTTCTCAGCCAACATTATTTCTGCAATCCTGGCAAGCCATGGAATCAGTTCGCAAGTCATCCATCACCAAAGGAAAGCTGAAGCTTAGGGTTCCATACTGTGCAGGCATGCTGCGCTTGAAGCAGATTTGGGCCGCTACACGCCGCGCGGAGCATTACATGCTCAAGGCACCTTGCAGCCGTCTCAGTGACTTAGACTGCGCCCCGGAAGGCGAAACTATTGAAACCAATTCTCATACTTTCAGTGACACCTCCTCCGACACCGAGAACTTCATGGCAATCTGACTTCTACTGCCTGGCTTGCGAGGGATTGGTGGACATGTCATCGTCGATGCTGAGGCCATGGACGCTGCGGAAAGGTCGCTTGCCAGCTGTGGGCAACTCTGTGCCGGAGCGATGAGGAACAATCTGCAATGTGAGTGAGACGTGAGAGAAGCGAGAGTAGAAGTCGTGAGACGATAAAGGTGACACGACTGCCGAAGATGCTGTTGCTTGGTGGCAGTGTTGGCACCGCAGGACGATTTTAGGAGAAGAACAGTGATGTGAAGGCAGAAGAAGCTGCAATATGCGGCTTAGCGGCCATGTAGCACGACTTGCTGCAG